AAGCTGATAATCATGTCCTTGGTTTAATGAAAACAATATATTGGATGGCCAAAAATGACATTCCATTGTATAAATTTTCTAATACAATAAATCTTGGTAGATCACTAAACTCACCTTGCTTTATTTCTAACTCTAGTTCTAATTATGCTACTTATGAAAATTCTTTTTCTGGTCATCAAATCTTGGAGTCTATATTTTTATCAATAGAAAATCAAATATGGGAAGAATTAAATGAAGTGTCATCCTTTGGGATAATAATTGATGAAAGTACTGATATTGCTATGCAATCTCATTTAATATTATATGTAAAATATTGTTACAAGGGTACTATTAAAGTTCGATACCTTAAATTGTTTCACTTAGAAAATGGAAATTCAGTTTGTATTTATAATACAATTATTAATTTATTTGAAAATAAAGGTATTTATAAATCATTTTATTTTTATATTTAATTATTATAAAAAGTATATTAATTTTCCTATTGAATTTTAGGTCTTGCTGATAAAATATTTTCATTTGCATCTGATGGAGCCTCAGTTATGATGGGAAGCAGATCTGGTGTGGCCACCAGATTATTTCAAAGGAACAAATATTTAGTTGTGACTCACTGTATTGCACATAGACTTGCTCTTGCATGTAATTCAGCTCAAAAAAATTCTATTTTCTGCAATGAAGTAGAAATGTTAATTAAAAATACATATAAATTTTTTAAAAATTCTGTAAAGAGAATTGAAATTCTTACTAAGTTTTAAATCATCCTATATTAAAAATTCCCAAAATTTTTGATGTGAGATGGCTTTCATGGTTTCAGGCTGTCAAAAATTTATGCCTTTCAATTGAACCTTTAATGGATACATTGACAGAAGTTATAATTGATGCACAAGATTCCAAAAATGATTTTTTTTTAAAATTATATTTTGATTTACGACAATGGAAATATTTGGCATTTTTATATTTTTTATATGATATATTAGGACATCTTTCAGAATTAAGTAAAATATTTCAATGCAGATTTATCAACTTTTCAACAATCAATCCATCAATTGAAGCTACAATCTCTAAAATCAAAAAGGAATATATTGATTTTGATGATGATGGTAGATTAAAATATGGAAATCAATTTAATAAATTTTTGCTTAAAACACCACCAAGTTCTGGAATTTTTTATGGCAATGAAATTCATGAAATAATATTTGAAGAAGATGATGAGAATAATGTAATATCAGAAATAATGAATTTTGCATCTTCAGTTGTCTCAGAGCTTGAGTTTCGTTTTCCAAATCGTCATTTGTTAAATCATATGAAAATTTTCAATATATCAGAATGGCCACCACATGTCAGTATGAATGATGATTTTGGAGAAGAAGAATTACAGCAAATAATCAATTATTATGGTACACCCAAAGATCTGGCTGAACCAATTATTGATCCAGATAATATCAATGAGGAATGGTACCATTTTAAAGCAATAATTTTAGCAAACTATATCAATTTATCTACAGAGAACTTTCTTTATGTAATTCATAAAAATCATTCTGAATTTTATCCTAATATCGTAAAACTCTTAGACATTTTTTATTCAATTCCTTTTTCAAGTGTTGAATGTGAGAGGGGTTTTTCAAGGCAAAATTTAATTAAAACAGATAATCAAAGTTTGTTATCTAATGAAACATTAAATATGTTAATGATGGTTGGATTAGAAGGTGGTGATCTAGAGACATTTGATTTTTCAAAGTCCATGAGAATATGGAGTCAATTAGCTAAACGAAGAATAAGAAATGTTATAGAAAAATAAATATTATTGTTAATATTAATAATAATAATAATAATAATAAATAAAAATTTTCCGATAAAAATTCTAAATTTCTGGTAAAAATTTTTCAAACCGGTTTCTTAACCGGAAAAATTGAAAACCAATCTTTATATTTTCTTATTTATCTTACGGCAAAAGAGAACATAATTATCTTTTTATTGTTTAATTTAACCTAACCCTGACTACTTTGTTTGCTACATAAACAAACAATTTATTTTTTATTTTTTACTATTATTTTTTTTTTATTATTATTGTACGTTATTTTTAGTTATTTTATTATTATCAGTGATTGATTATTTCTGGAGTTAGTTGATCAAAGGTTAAACCGTGGCAAACAAAAGAAAGAAACCTCTCCGATAGATGGATGTGGTAGATAAAAAAAAATAACAAAAAGGTAAGGAAGGAAAGATCAATTTTTTAACATCAGATGAATGAATAGTGAAAATAATTAGTATTAGTAATAATAAATAATATATAAATAAAAATAATTAATAATAATGATATGTGTAACATCAATCATTTCAAAGAGTAAAAAAAAAAAAATTTTAATTAAATCATAAGAAACGTCTCATTTTTTCATCTCATGCTTCCCAAAAAATTGTGTTTAGTAAAAATTGATTTTTTATCAGCTCAATGCTCACTCAATCTGTTTGATCGATTGATCGTTCGTTCATTCGATCGCTCATGTATAATGAGCACCCTTCTACAACGTCTTATTTCCCGTACCACTGTTTATTTACAATAATTAAGTGTTAATAATTAATGTGTACGCGTCGATCACACAAACTTCTTTTTAATTTTAAAAAAAAAATGTCTCGTAATAAAAGAAGCAAAGAAAAAGAAGAAGAATTTGAAAGAGGGTAAGTGTTTTAAGGATGGTGGTGGTGGTTATCGCCCGCCACTCGTCGTTACTCTAGTTAAAAGAAAAAGATTAACTTTATTTATTTTTAAATCAGTGATAAAGATCTAATGATTAGCTTTCTTGTAAATAAGCTAAAAAAGATGTATAGAGAGATGTTGCAGTTTGAAAAAGTTAAACCGTTGGAGATATATGACATATTAGAAGATGTATATGAGGTAATTACATTGCTTTATTATTATTGATAGTAAAAATTTGTTACATTAGTTTATTTTTTAAAAAATCCATTTAAGGAGAATTATGGTGAGACAGAAGAGGAAGAAGAGGAAGAAGAAGAGATGGTAGCAGAGGCGGTGATGGCAGGTAACAGTGATGAAGACAGTGATGAAGAGGAAGACAGTGATGAAGAGGAAGATGAGGAGGGGTGAAGAGGAATTGGAGGTGGAGGTGGAGGTGGAGAATGTTGGAAATGAGGAGGTGGATGGAGTTGTAGAAATTGAGGTGTTAGATGAGGATGAATACAATGGAATTGTTGATATGGGGGAGGTGTGGAAAGGGAGTAGGTCAGTTTGGGGTTTAGCAGAGCAGGATATTTTGATTAATCATTTGATTTGTAAAAAAAATAATTGCAAGAAGTTGAGGGAGGTGAAGGGGTTGGTGAGAACTAATCAGGCAATGTCCCTGAAAGCAAAACAGCTTAGAAAAAAATTTTGGAGGGTTTTATACCCCCTTTATCCATTTTAAAGAAAAGAAGTAAAGGATCTACCAAATTTTTTGAAGTCACTTCTATTTAAATTGCTCCAATAATCTAAACTTTTATTTTAACCAAGCAGATACTCATTACCAGTAAGCCTCAGATTTTTGAAGTTGCCTGTTTATGATAAATCAATTATAAGCATCATTTGTACTGTGAGATAGTAAAATATGGGTCGTTGCTGGATGAGGGGTGAAATTCTCCAAAATTTCAATCATTGAGATATCACCACTGTTTTGGCACACAATGCAAAAAAGCTCAAAAATTAAAAATTAAAAAATGACCTCCCTGGTCCTAATTTATTTTTAAAAACAGTAAAATAGATTTTTTTATTTTAGTTAACATAATAAAATACACAACTGTGTAGTCAACCCTGTTAAACCAAAGAAACAGTAAATCCACCCCGTTAAACCAAATTTGTTAAACCTAAATACTAATA